ACAACAATAATGATTCTAATAATTTTAAGACTGATCGCCCTTATATGCTCGAGTGTCCAATAACGCGTAATTCCCAAACCCTCGATACCCGCCCTCTTCGTCTTCGATCGAACCCTTTTTGGGGGGGTACACCTTTCTTCCCTGCAGGCCGGGCCCCGGCAAGCGGCGGGGCGGCCGCGGACCGTCGACCTGGCCAGCGGCAGCGCTGATCGGCGGGGCGGCCGCGGAACGTCGACCCGACCCCAAGAGGGACGGACAGGGGACCGACCACGACGACGACGACGACGACGACGACGACGACGAACGTCGAAGACGACGGCGACGACGACGACGACGGCGACGACGAGCGAAAGCGAGAGCGAGAGAGAACGACAGCAGGGCCACGAAGGGCACGAAGTAGGCCACGAAGGGCGACAGCGGGGACACGAAGGGAATATGGGGCCACGAAGAGCGCGAACGAGCGGGGGCCACGAAGTGCAGATAATGCGGGGCCACAGAAGGCAACTATGGGGCCACTGAGGGTAGAAACTGGGCCACGTAGGACAGAGAGGGGGACACAAATGGCGACAGCGGGGCCACGAAGGGCATGCACATGGGGCCACAATGGGCGCGACTCCTGGGTGCCTGGGTGTCGGGAGCGCGGCGCTTGGGCAAATTGTAGGAAATTCAAACGCAAGGCCATTCTTCAGTAAGTTGCAAGCAAGTCTCCAGCGAGAGCGCGACTCCAGAGCGCCGGGAGAGCGATTCCTGAATAAATTGTAAGGAAGTCCCTAGCGAGAGCGCGATTCCTAAATAAAATGCGAGGAAGTCTCGGGCGGGAGCGGGGGTCCTGTCTAAATTGTAAGGAAGTCTCAAGCGGGAGCCGTTGTTGTTGTAACCCGGGGGCCAGGGGCCCAGTTTGAGCAGGAAGACTTTCCCTGTCAAAAAACAGGGTGCGAGCGTCGAGGGGCACACTTGAATTGAGAAAAAACAGTATGCACCAGTGGGGGGGGATCAACAACAATTATTCTTCAGAAATAAGAATTCAACAACAACAACAACAACAACAACAACAACAACAACAACAACAACTACTACAACAACATCATCATCATCATCATCATCATCAGCAGCAGCAGCATCATCATCATCATCATCATCATCATCATCATCATCATCACCACCACAACCACCACCCCTTGACAAATGGGAGCCCAGGCTTACCCATCATCATCATCATCATCATCATCATCATCATCATCATCATCAGCACCATCACCATCACCATCACCATCATCATCATCACCATCCTCATCCTGCACCTCATCCGCATCCGCATCGGCATCTGCAGCATCGTCATCGTCGTCAGCAGCAACATGATCATCAGCATCATCATCAGACGCATAATCAACACCATCATCATCATCATCAGCAGCAGCATCGTCATCATAATCCTCATCCTCATCGTCATCAGCATCATCATAATCAGCATCAGTAGCTTCATCATCATCATCAGCGTCATCGTCATCATCATCGATGGCATCGCCATCGTCACCTGTAGCATAATCAGAATCGGCATCGTCGGTAATCGTTATCGGCATCAGCACCTGCCTCATACATAAGAACCCTTGTCATACCAGTCAGTACCAAACAATAAAATCAGTATCCACTGACATCATCCCTTCCCGATGATATCCCCACACAGTCCATTAGCAGCATCATCGCTGTTCTCATTGTCAGCATCACCACCACCATGACCACCATCAGCGTCAGCATCATCTGTCACCATCAGAGCCGTCGGCAACAGTAGCATACTCAGAACTAATCAGCATCATCCTCATCATCATCATCATCATCATCATCATCATCAGCATCATCATTATAATCATCCTTATCATCAGCATCATCGTCGTCTTCGTCAACGCCTTGACCATCGCCATCATCATCCACCTTTGCCTTTTACCACAGAATCGCTGCCATATCCGTAAGAATCCAACAACGAAATCAGTGTCCACTACTAACATCCCGTTCCGATGTCATCCTCCCACATTCCCTCATCATCCTAATTGTTGCCATTGCCCGTAGCGTCACCATCACCACCACCAGCATCGTCAACTTCATCGGCGTCACCATCAGCATCGTCATCAACACTAGCATGACCAGTAACAGTATCATACTCATCATGGTCGCCGTCGCCATCATCAGCATCAGCATCATCAGCATCAGCATCACAGCCACACGGGCCATACGCATCATGCCCATCATCTTCGTCATCGTCATCACCGCAACTACCATCGTTATCATCAGCATCATCAACAGAAGCAGCATCACCATTATCCCTCCAGCGTTCCTTTCCCTCCCTCTTTTCCCTCATCCTTCCTCCTTTTCCCTCATCCTTCCCTTGGCGTACAAGGCTTTGGACGGAGCGGGGGCGAGGACGACTTCTCCTCCTCCTCCTCCTCCTCCTCTTCCTCCTCCTCCTCCTCCTCCTCCTCCTCCCTCTCCTCCTCCTCCTCCTCCTCTCCTCCTCCTCCCCTTCTCCCTCCCTCCCTCTTTTCCGGCCAAGGCCACCAGACAACGGCCCTCCGCGCCCAGCCGTGTCGCGCGCGCGGGCGGGGCGGCGCCGCACCCCCCGCGGGCGCCTCCGAAAGAGGCTTGGAGTTTGGCATCTGGGCGGCGAGGCGGGGGCGAGGACTGAAAAGGGCTACGAGGACGAGGCGGGGGGGGCGAAGTGAATATAATGGGAAACTTGTGGGGTCGTGAACTTGCTGACTGCCTCAGTACATCCCTGCACGTACCGCAAATCTGACGACCGTCGCGCCCTCGGACTCTGACGCGGGCCACTACGGTCCCAACACCGAACTCTAAGCAGCCGATCGCCCACCACAGCTACGGGCGAACGCGGAGGACGAGGACGAGGAGGACGGCCTTGAGAGGGGACGAGGGCGAGGACAAAGGCCCGCCGCAGAAGCCGCCGTGGACAACCAGGCCTCTTCGCGGCCCTCGCGGGGCCGGCGAGGGCGAGGCTGAAGGATTCGACCTTTCCTCTTTCCCATCCTGCAGTTCCTCCTCCTGCTCTTGCTCCTGTTCCTGCCCCTGTCCTCCCCCCATCCCCCTTTTCCTCCTCCCCCTCCTGCACACCCTCGGGGAGGATAAGCACAGGAACGAAAACGATTTCTTCTCAGACCGTCAAAACTGATATGTTGTAACCTCATTTTCGGTAACATTATCAAGAGAGGCGAGGATGTAGATATTACCAGCCGGCGCCTTAACGATGCCTAAGTGCAACGAGCGATTGCGCCCAGCCACCGGCCCTCCTCGCGACCACAGCGGAGCAACCTATTGGCGGCATCGCCAGGGTCACAGTAGTCCGCGGTCGACCACTCGCTCTGGAACTGCTCGATGTCAGCCCAGCATCCGCAAAGAACATCGACGTTGACATGTCCCTGAAACTTGGCGCTCTGGTCGGCAACCGGGTCATAGGAACCAAGAGACTCCCAGAAGGTGCGGTCAAGTGCGCGCAGGCAACAGGGGAAGCGAGCATTGTTGTGCCTCCTGCGGTGGAGCTCGTAAGCACTGTCGAGGTTGTCCAACCAGCGGCTGCGTCGCACTCTCGCGTCAAAGTCGCGACCAAGAACAATCACCATCACTTGTCACAGAAATGATTCCGTGCGCTTGTTCGCACGGCCCCTAACGCCTGGAGCAGTTAACGGAACAAGCCAGCATACGCGTTGGTGAAGCGAACGTTGGTGGACATCGAAGCCGGCAAAAACGTCTGGCACCAGGCGATTTTGGTTGGCTCCAGGTCTGCCTGGACTTCGTCTCGCTTTAACTGTTCGATGGCATCGTACCGTTGGCAGAACACCTCTGGACCATCGGCACGCTGGAGGAAGTAATCGACTCACTCTTGGACGGCAAACCTGACGGCCATGGTGCCCTCGGCGATCTCCCCACGGCTACTCCACACCGATGATGAATGGGTTCTCAGGCCGGCACGCGTTGAACCAGGTAACGACCACCTCCAGCAACTCCTCCTCCTCCTCCTACAACTCTGGAAGGTCACGCACGTAGATCTGCGACTCTGGAACATGGCTCGGGAGCCCTGGACGCGGACGGGCGGGAAAGTTCGGGCGCAACTCAGTAATGTTCCTGGGCCCCTGGTAAACACGGGGCAATTTGGATTGCAGTGCTGAGACGGCATGAATCCAAAACTCACGCTGCACGGCCCTGTTCTCAGAGAGCTCGGCCTGCCACGCAGGCGGGCCTTCCAACGGCGCCGCGGGTAAGCTGCATACAGCTGCCCCCGAACAACGGCACGAAGTTCGTCTGGGAACTCTCGAAGTCGCCCCAGGCAACCTAGCGCCCACGAACGCACGCGAGTAACGCGGGAGCTGGCTCGCCAACCCAAGTGCCACAAGGGCGCCAAAAGTGGCAACTCATCGAGGTGAACATTTTGCCCGGGCACGGAAAGCCGTGAAATATGGGTCGCACATGTCGCCGTCATCCGGCAGCCCACGGAAACACGTGAAAAAATGGCATTGCCTGGGACATCGGGATGGCGTGGACCTTGTTGCGATAGATCTCCTCGTTCGAAACAGCCACCTCTGCAGGCAACGGACTGCCCGCCTGAGGTGCGGGAATCGCCCCCGCTGCACTCCCCGGCAGACGCCGCGGTGGCCTCCGCGAGCTCGTCGGCTGGAACCAGACGCTGGCGCGCGCCAGCCAGCAACCCGCCCACCCCGCTGATTTCCTCCCTGACTGGCGAGGACGCCACCTGAGGCAAGTTAACTCCGCTCGCTGATGCCCCAGCCCACTGCTCGCCGCACCACTGGTTGCCTCGGGCAACGGTTCAGAGCTCCCGCCGCCCTGCCGTCGCCACAGGGCCACAGGGGTAACGGCCACGCACCCTGAACCTGGAGCGGCCGCGCCTCTTGGCCGACTAGTCCGCCATTGCAACCTCGGTCGGCGATAAGCTCGGGAGCGGCAACCCAGACGTCCGCCTGTCGGAACGGGACAAGAACCGAATATTACCGGTAACCACTGCGACGCTGGAGTTGCAGCGGGAGACGTAGCCGCGAACCGAATACACTTGTCGGATATCTCCCCCAGTCGAGATGCACTGTCGGATTTGACTTGAATATCTGGGCCACTTCGGGCAACCGGCGGGCGATCTTCGAGGCGTGATCGGCTAACTCCGCAACCGCGGTCATGTTCTTCGCGATCTCGCGACGTCTAACAGCCCGCACGTCCTCGTCGCTGTCCTGTGGCATGTTGGGCCGGTTGACCTCCTCCTCGATCAGCTGGCACGTCTCCTCGGTCTGGTCGAGCTCGCTTCTCACGTCGCCGATATCCTCGACGACCCTGGTGGATCTGATACAGGCAGCGAACGTTTCCTATAAGGTGCATCGCGATCCACCATCATCTGTTGAAACTCGGCACGACGCTTGCAACTCAGTTCGCCTCGGCCTGCTCGCAGCGGCGGGCGCCACCCTAGGCAGCGAACACCGTACCTGGCCCACGCGGCCCATTAATAGCTTCTCCTTAGCCAGGCGTGCCAGGAGATACTCCTCGGCAACTTCCCTTCCTGGGCGAGGCCCAACTGCGGCCACGGCATCCTGGGCGACTAGGAACGTCGCGCCCGCGGGAGCGGGGCGGCCGTCAAACGCAATTCAACACTGGCGGATGGCAACTTATCTTGTGGAGTCTGCGAGCTGGGAAAGCAGCAGCAAGGATAACTCCTCGATCTCAAACGGCTGATATGACATTCACTGCACGGCGGCCGGCGCTAACCGACGCCCATCTTCAAGCTCGAGATGACTTGCGCCGCGCATGCGTGTCCTGAGCCCTGCGCTACCAGCATAGTTGGTTAACATGTCTGCAAGAATCTCATCGGTGGAAACCAGGGTTCCTCTTCTGACTCCTCTCCTCGCCTTCTCTTGCCGCCACATGGTAGGCCTTTGTATGCCTCGTTTTTCAAGAGCCCCTCCTGCTGGCCATGGCTACTGCTGCACTGGCATCGCTCTCGAAGGCTAAGTCCACCTCAATATCACAATCCTTCAACAAATATTGTATACCTAACCCCCCTGATGCGCCTGTCACTATGCCGTACGACCATGCTTCACCAGACGATAGGCTATAACACTCTGGGTCGAACACCATGATTTGGCAATGCGCCCCCCGCTCGTAGACGCCTTCGCTGCGCAGTCGGCGCCCGTCCGAATGTTCAACTCCTCGGGTAAATCCTGAGGCCCCTACGGGCAGTTATACCTGCCGCGCGTTTCCAAGTGCTTCCTGAGTTAAACTAAGGTCGTCCAGGACCTCATGGTGGGACGCGACCTGCTTCAAACCAACTCTTATACTGCGAGTTGGAAATATGACTGGCTGTGTGGCAGATAGTAGCTCTTCGCCACTGACGCTCGGTATGTATGCACATTCATTTTTGGGGGGCAATCCATCATCATCCTGCTCGCTGCACGTCACATTTTCCCCCGGCACTTCTGATCTGACTCCGTTCCTCACTAGGTACAACTCCATCACGATACCCGCGTGCCTCTGGTCTGCTTCGTACCATGATCCCTCCGCGTTCAACTCTGTGATTTTGTTCAAGACCCTGGTCGACGAATCCCCCTCCTGCCTGGCTCCAGCCCTAACCTCCACCCCGCCTTCACATCTAACTCCTCCTTCATTTTTACTTCGAACCAGTCACAGTCAGCGTCGCTCCCCTACAACGTGAAGTAGTCACCGCGCACGGTTAACCAGATCTTTCTGGCGTGACGCATAGAGAGGTGCAAACCTGCTGATGAAACCGATGTTCCTAGCAAAGTCAATATAACCATCTGCCCATGCACGGGGCGCGTCGCGATCGCCGTACATGGACTTGAGAAGCCCTCCGCACACACGCAGGGCTCGCGGCCCCCATCCGGTAACCTCACGGATATACCCTCCTTGGCCTTCGCATAGAAGTATGTCCGCCCAACACTCATGAAGGATAGTTGCCTGCCTTTCTCACACTTTTCCTTCGTGACTCCTATAACCCTCAGATCTACGTCTGCGCCTTTCCATCCATCTCGTGGTGAATAATAGGTTATGGACATCCTATCCAAGGGTCCGACTGTCCCGAATGCCCCACAGGCACCACACATGCATGGCGCTCCTAATAACCAGCCGACGTTTCCGCACTCTCGGTGTTCCCGCTTGTGATTGTGCGTCTTCCATAGCCCCGTGAAAAAATCGGGCGTACCCATGATTTCTCGACTCCTTTCACGTCCTGTGATATCGTTGACCCCGTGTGTCTTCGCGCAAGCTGCCAATGTCCAGGTCTCGTATAACGTCGGGAACACTGGCTCCACCTTGGTCCGCGCTCGTCAGGAAACCTCAGTCTGGTGGTGCCATGGTCCTCACGAATCTATTCAAACTCGTGACACACCGAGTCATCGGCGCATCGTGCTTCGCTGATGCACATGGGCTCCTCCTCGGCTGTTTGATTCGTAACTTCATACGCTTCAAATGAGCACCCATGTCTTTCATTGTCCTTCATTTCTTGAACCAGCCCTTGCAATATCGCCCTGCGTAGTCGAACCGGGTATATATGTATACATATATGTATATATATATATATATATATATATATATATATGTATGTGTGTGTGATCGCCTACTGCGACCATCTCCCAGTAAGACCCTGTCGGTGATGTCCTGGGCACCTCAGGTTAACCTCCTGGCCCATGTGATGCCTGTTGGTCATGAAACGCGTGGACTGTTTGCACAATCGACTCCTCATTTGACCATGTGCTTCATCATGTCATATTGGCACATAAATCCCGCGTATACACCAACCTTTGGTTGGCCAAGAAACCTTTGCACAGAAGCCGTGCTCCAACTTAAGGCTCTCGATGGATTCTCCACAAAATAACAAGCTTCTCATTTGTATCTCCCATACCTACATAGCAGAGCTCAGGTGTTTAACACCCTATTTCAGTTTTTCCTTCACTCCCTGGTCACCTACCTAAGCTCTGAATGTTGAAAATCTGAAGCCTGCCGAAAGCCGCACACCTTGGGCTGGCAGCTTACGACACTGCCGCGCTGCTTGTCAAAGTCTGCTTAGATTCCTCCTCCTCCTCCTCTTCCTCCTCCTCCCACCTCATCCTCCCTGCTGCCTCCCCCAGGGAAAGCTCTCAAACGATTGAACAGGACGACGAGTTCGCACGGAGCGCACTGAAGCTCCCGAGATCGACAGCATACGCTGGAGGCCTACACGATATCTGGGTGAACATGTGTGTATGTATACGTGTGTGAATGTATACATTCGTATGTAGTTACAGGTATACATACAAGTACATTCGTACATTCGATGTTGATGTGTGCAAGTACCTTCGGTTTTGATATTTGTAGACATAGAGAGAGATGCAGTCGCATGTACTTAACAACGCATGTGTGCATCCAGATGTACATGTATATGTATATGTGTGAGTGTGTGCGCATATCTAGGTACATACACGTACGACGCATGCACATACCGATGTATAGAATTGTACATGTATACACCTGTGAATATAGTGTATGATCATTCGCCTATACATGTGCACTTAAAAACACATATACGCATGCACATGAGCATGCGTTTGTACATACAACTAATTATATATATATATATGAAACGCAATACGTTGAAAATGCGAAGTCGCACCATAACTGAGATACGTAAGCATAGTTAGATACATGTTTGGCAAAAACATGGGCATGCTGTACGCATGCAAATACATGCGCATAGAGATGCACAAGCATATACATATGTACACATGCATGCTCGCATATAAAAAATGCAGAGACATATGCAAACACATACAGATGTGCGTAAGCATGTACATATATGTGTCGGTTTGTATGCATACGCTTGTACAGACTTACAAACAAATACATACATCTGTATCCCTTCCTCTCCCTCTGATTTCCTCTCTGTCGACTAGGGCTCTGCCAAACGCTGAACAGGACGCCGGCCCTCTCGAGTCAGGCAGTGATGTGCACAACCAGGACATGTCGACGCCCACGTCCACCGCCTCGGGCAAGAGCACCGTCTCATCACAAGTCCTGGATGCAAGCGGGCCCGCCGACCACGAGGGGCTCGAGGACGATACCCCAGATCCCTCCCACCCAGACCGACCGCCACCACCGACGCGGTCTCTTCCGCGGGCGCTCAGGCCAGGCTCGGGGCTGCCCTCCACGGGCCCCAGGATGTACAAAACTCACGCGTAGACACCAGCGCCCCTTGGCCCCCGCGCCAACCGCGGCACTCCACTGGCTCACGGACGGCCTTCGGGACACAAGAATCGGTCCCCAGGGCGCGACCAACCGGGGCTATACTGCGGACGATCGCAAAGATGTACGTAGCCCCTCGCCCCACGCCAACTACTGCCGACCTCGACTGGCCCCTCACAGGCGCAGGAAATGTCCTGGATCATCCACGAAGCAGACCATCTCCGTTTCGGCTGCCCCACCTCGCGAACTGCTGGCCCACCGGCTACCACTGCCGAAGGAAAGCGCCTCGATGTGAGCCACACGCCCGCTCAAGCCAAAATCCACGCCCCCTTGAGGCGTCAACACACTCGCCAACCCAGGTACCACACGCCGCAACCGCGCAGGCCGAGGCGACCACCGCCACGCTCGCCACCGCCCACTCCACCATGGATGTCGAGATGCGCAGGCAGGCCGACCTTGCGGCCACCTTTCGCCAGCTCCTCGCTGCGCACGCGCCCGCGCCCGCATGCAGCAGCAGCAGCACACGCCCAGCCCCTAGTGCCACGGCGCGTTTCGCCCAGCGGCGTCCACGCCCGGCTCGCAGCGCCTCGCGGAACCCTCTCCCCGAAGGGTACCACGTGGGGTGATCTCTGCCTGGCTAAGAAGGCGCCACGCCAAAGCGTCACCCATCCCCTGGCCTCCGCCCCGCGAGACTCCTAGCCGTCGCGCACGGCGCGCCGCTCGGAGCCTCCGCCCATATCCCACGCAGTTGTGCGCCCCTCTGGCGCGCGCCTCGGGTCTTCCCTTCTCGCCTCCCGCTCCGAGCGAGGGCCCTAGCCTTCGCTCGCCCAGTGGCGGCCGCTCAGCTGGGACCGAAGCAGACGGGCCGAAGGATCGCTGAGCATCGCCGATGCACCAGCGGCGCATCGACGACATCGGGGGTGGAGAACATCGGACACTTGGATCTCGCCGAATCCTCGATGCAGTGGCGATGCGGCGCCTTCCTCCCACCACATCGGCTCTGGCCCGGCTGAAAAGGCCTGAAGCCATGCCGCGAGCTGGGGGGGAGGTCCAAGTGGCGCCAGCGACAGGCCTCGCCAAGAGCTCTCACCCCTGG